GGAATTTGTAATGGATAAGATAGTACCTGAAAATGAGTGATGATTTCTCAGGCCTTAATTTTAGAAAAACAATCACGACCACCTTCCAGATAGGAAAATCCTTTCTTTCCTGGCAAGCTATATATTTTCTGGAAGCTTTATACAAGTGTAATCTTATATATAAAGCTGAATGTCTGTTTGTCTGTCTGTCTGTCTGAGTGTTGTATGTTCCGAATAGAAAATTCCATTTCTGAACCGATCCGGACCATACATTGCACACATACACTTCGGGGCCGGGCGGGTGTCATAGGCTACTTTTCGTCATTGATCGATATCGATTTTATTGATTTTTCAAAAAGTTCACGGGGCTGGGAGTTGGCACGGGGGGTAAGTGAGCATGCTGATTCCGAATATATTAATGATAGAGCCGGGCGGAGCCGGGTTTGCCAGCTAGTTCAATATATAGCTAGAAACTTTCCTATCTTCTCATATGAAAATGTTACAATTTGAAAAAAAATATTCAATTTTGAAAAAACGACTTAGTCATCACTACTTGGCAGGAAAAAATCCCTTTTTCCTTGGAAGCTGTATATTTTCTAAACGTGGATGAACACAGACTTGATCATTCCTTTTCTGCCTGTATACCCTACCAGAAAAATTATCATTTTTAATTGCAACGCTGTAAATTTCGTGGTCTTCTACCACTCGCAATGTCCGTCACTTCATATTATGCGTATACAAGCGCAAAGCAACAGCATAATAGAGTGCTAACCTTGTTCTCAATCTGTGGGCAAATTGGAGGCCTGATAAATCATCACGCATTCAGATACTATCTTATCCATTACAACTTCCATCATTCAATTTTATTTATCACATAAACTTGGAAGGCTAGATTATGATTGGGTTTTCCTCTAAGATCATCGAAGTTTCTCACTCTTCTTCGACGGAAACAAAATTTTTTCAGGATGATCAGGCCATTAATTATATACAATTGTCTCCACTTCTTGTATAGTGCTCTAAAGTGGAAAAACGCAATACTGACTGTCCTTCGTTCTCTATGTCATCCAAGTGGGCTTGTCGAAAACTCCACGATCCTCGTAGCTATGACATTTGATAGTAAGAGTGACGCTGATTACACTAAGTCTTTGATGTAATAGCTACTCTTGGTTGCACCTGCTTTTCTACGCAAATGCTACAATCTCTGTCAGAGTTTAGAAATAATATTGAAAGTTGGAACAATGACTCGTTATAGAATCAATCAATGATTCTTCATAGATTCCGCCATTTTTTTAGAATATTTATCTTTTGTTGAAAAGAATGCAATTCAACTATGCACCGATCACCAAACTTCATTTATTATTTCACTTATTATTTCAGCAAATATGTGAGTAACTTACTGACATAATACACGAAGGCTTCACACGTAAATTTCTCACTGGGCTTTTCTTGGTTTCCCAGAAGTAAACAATAGGCGGCAAATTTCCGACGTACTTCTCACTAATGGAAAAAAGTTTTTGATAATCATACTGATGATATTATGGATTAAAATCTTACTAAATTCAATTTTAATAATGTCGATAATTTTAAAATTTTGCTTAAAATGTTGATTTTTTTAGTTTCACTTCTCCAAGTTTTTCATGGCCGTGGGTGAATGGGGTCAGCTGGGTTCTGGCCTAGGGTTGAAGGGGCTAGGAACACATTTTCAAATTCACGGCTATACTTTCAAAGGTCCAAAGTATGCAACTACATAAGTGGGAATAGTATAGCTCCGATTTTGTGAGAGCATAAACTTCTTGATTTCTTCAGTGTCCGAGGAAAAAATACAGCGCGGCACACGAAGTGTCTGATGTGGAGTGAATAAGTGTGACCGAGTGAGAGATTATAAGATACTAGCTGGCTTACCCGGCTCCGCCGTATGTTCCGAGTAGAAAATTCCATTTCTCAACCGATCCGGACCAAACTTGGCACACATACACTTCGGGCCCCGGCGGGTGTCACAGTCCACTTTTCGTTATCGATCGATGTCGATTCTATCGATTTTTTGCAAAATTTGAGTTAGGAGGCTGGAATTTGGCAGAAGGTAGTCGAGCATGCTGATCACCCCCACGGGGGTGATCAGCATGCTCGATTACCCCCCCCCCTGTGCCAACTCCCAGCCCTGTAGCTCCAATTTTCCAAAAAATCGATAAAATCGATATCGATCGATGACGAAAAGTAGCCTATGACACCCGCCGGGGCCCAAAGTGTATGTGTGCCAAGTTTGGTCCCGATCGGTTCAGAAATGGAATTTTCTATTCGGAACATACGTACATACAGACAGACATACAGACATACAAACAGACATTCAGCTTTATATATAAGATTTGTAACAAGAACATGAACTTCCTTCAATTTTTCGATCATTCAAAACTTCTCAAAGAGTGGCTTCAAAATTGCAGTGGATCGAAGCTGATCGCACATTTACATACCATCTTGTGGAGCTCTGCTCTGTCGAATGATATCCTTAAAGACAGCGCCCGGGTAAAATTTTGAATGGAATTTTTTTCGCTTATCTGAGCTCCTTTCGCTGATTCTGAAAATGCAGCTTGGAGGGCACGAAAACGCCGAAAACAGGCTTTTCCAAAAGCTCTCGTTTTGAATTTTGTCGCTTGCTGCCAAGGTTAAGACGCAAAGTCTTTGTGGCACCCTACGTCTTGACTGTGTGCGGTATGCGCACTCTGGCCTATCGAATTAACTCGTCCCGGTCGCCGGGGCGTTTCGGTCGGCACTTCTGAAGCGGATTGCTCGCTTCAGAGGCAAATCGGTGCATTGCCAGTTGGGCAAGAGCCTTACCAGGACGGGCGCCCCTGTACTGTACATTTTCGTATCTGCCCGAACGCTGCCGTTAAGCTTTAATGAGGATAACCAGTGCATGACTTCTTGCCATTGGAATCAAAGTGCAACGAGACTTATGTAACAGTCTGATGCTGTTCATTATCATTTTGCGCTTTATCAGAGTTAGGCTAGCTTTCGAGAAACAAACTTCCGAATGGATTTTGAACTATATATCTCAAGTTAGGTTGAGCATTGGAGTGTCGCCAGCTGCCTCAAAAATCTGAAAAATTTTTGACATAGTAGGCTATAAGTTGTGGCAGCTGGCTCTAATCTCGCATGCAAATGCAAACGCAAAACTTTGCAAGGTGTGATTACACAGAAATTTATGGTAAAACTACAGCTCAATGCCCAGGAAAGTCACAATATTTTAGATAAACAACATGTCTAATCTTTATCCTCAAGCAGCATTCTTTTCAACAAACTCCCAAAGGCAAGGATGCATAGGAACGTCCTCATAGGAATAGCAGTGAGAAGAGCAATGTGAGTTCTATGAAGTCGAAATAAAGCGACGCTTTTGAACTGTAGCTTGCAGCGAAGGTAATCATATTTACCATCTCTATCCCTAAAATTGCTCCTCTTGTCAAAGGTGATATTTTGATTTATATAATCATTGTTGTGACCCTTACTTTCAGAAAAAGCGTGTCACGATCGCAGTTGCAACAATACAGAGATGATCGACGGGGAGCGCTTCTAAGTTGAAGACGCCTACAAAGGGGAAGCTAAATAAAGAAGTATGCATCGCTTTGTGGTTTTTCTGGGTGTTGTCTCATGTCCTTGTGTGATATGCCAATGTAGGGCTCTTCTTGAAAATTTTATATTCGCTGGTTTTTATATAAACGACTCCCATGTTTATAGCGAGCGTGGCCCTGCAAAAATTTGACACGTTGAGTTAGTGAAACTCCTTTAAAAGCATTAGTTTTTGTCTTCTAGCTATCAGAACCTGCCACGCGTATAGCGGAAATAGACGATATCAACATGCTTGTAAAGTGTGCTCAGAAATAAGATGTCTGATATTTTCTAATGAATTTAGTGACATAAAATGGGGTTTTACGAATGGAAGAAAGGCGTGAGAAAGGAGACCAACGATGCAAGGCAAAGAAGTAAAGAGGCGTAAGAGAGGGCACAAAGAACGCAAAAATCGTTGACAAGAGCGTAGGCTACATGCTTCAAGCGCGATCGGGACGTTATGGTGTCTCCCGCAGGTATTGATTTTGACCGGAATGTCACCCACTTTTGTCACGAAACAAATCAGGTGTCATGATTTTGTCCCGACACCGATTTCGGGAGTCGCGCAGGCATTCCTTGACTGCAGCTCGTTTTGTTTTGCGCGAGTCAACTGCGAATGTCTGAGTGCACCCCGCGCACAGCTGATACAAATCTGTAATGTATGAGTTATGCATGGCTACTGGTCTATTGCAGATGTCCGCGTGGGACTACTTTGTCGACATATAGCCCTCTATCCCCGCTAGAACGACCAAAATTATCTGTTAGTCAGCCTGATATTTTTGATTGCACATGTGATATCTCTGGATAACAATAGCTTACTTGTTGTGAACCCCAACAACTTAATAAGAACCTTTTCTTACCTGTGAATGTGCTCCTTCTTCTTGCTTGCTGCTAATGCTATCCATATCCGCTCTCTTTCCGTTTGATACATCTCGATCTTATATTTGGAGTACATAAACTCGAATAGTTCGTCATTTCCGTACATCACTGCAGTTGAATAAAGAGGCTGACGAAGGTGTGGAGGAATTCTTAAAAAGCAGTTAGGAGTACTCGTTAAAATTGCGAATTATTTTAGTACAGAAGTGACAAAACTGTGTATCGCAAGTGGTCGCACTTACTTGTTACAGGTCCTGTTGCTTAACATACCATCTGCGCAAGATATCCTCAGTGTATTCAATAATTCCAAAGCATAAGCGACACATGGTGGATGTCCATTTAAGCATACTCGGGAGTATATGGTCGTTCGCAAGTCACTGGAATCGCAAAGGTCACTCAGTTTTCTTGGTGACTATAATATTCTTCATGCAACTTGTAATCGATATGTGCATGCAAGATCCATAAATGGAAAGCGTCAATCAGTTCCTACTCACTCTTCATGTATTTTCGTTTTTTCACTGGTCACAGGGTTTCTTCGGTAGTGCTCAAAGAGGGGTTCCAGAATTGTTATGACAAATTTCTGAACAACTGTTTAATTGATATTATTTCATTGATACGAAAATACTGATACAAATAAAATTCACTTGAAAAAGTGGGAATTTCGGATGTGCAGTAAGCCGCGAAAATAGGAAATCCAAGTGAGCATGGAGCATCTTCAAAGGCGGATAGGCGGTCTAAACGACGATAACATGCTGGAGAGTAAAGCAGCTGTATTATCGTAATGATAACTAGTGTCAAATTACCTCATTTCTCAAGTACAAAGATATATTCAAAGCGTGTGCGTATGATAAATTCCCAACTTCTGCCAAGGTGAAAGAAGCGTCCATGAGGCGGGTTCTGAAAACGCACATTCGCAAAGATTGTAGATGTTCTTTGATAATGCTGACCTCGCTGCTACTGGGATACAGTTCGCATCTTGATGGAGGCGAGCAGTGATTTGAAGGTAGATTTCGGAATCATATCTTATTCGAACAAAACTTCTGCCTTCACGATCCAACACCATGTCCCTGCCAAGGTCGAGTATCGCTAGAAAACCATAAAACTCTTGAAAAATACGGACACTGCTTTTTGCTCCTTTACCTCATTTGAGAATATCTCAAAATTACTTTGACACTGGAAAAAGTCAACTGATTCTTATTCCCAGGAACCTCCAAGGTCACCTCAAAGCATAATGTGTTTATTTGTGCATGCAACCAATGCAAAACTCGCATGTGTGATTTACGTGGTGTCATAGAAGTGGTTATGTGCTGCTTCAACATTTCGCTTGCCCCAATGTCTCTCGCGATGTTTAGTACTATTTCGTAAAGCTAAATTCAACAGCTTGGAAACTCTCTGCGTTTGCAGCTCTACTATCCTTCGTATATGTATCGGTGTGATCTCACTTCAAGATTTCCATGGAGTTGCTCAATAAGAAAGGGGCTATTAAGAACTGCGGCTATGCCACTGATCTAATCTCAAAATCCTCTTCACCTTTATAATGTGAAACATGCGATTCGCTTTGATATCAAGAGGAAAGCGGATATCTAGACGGTATAGCAGCTTTACCGCATACTCTGAGGACTTGCAGCGGTAGTCCAAAAAGTTCAGTGATCTTCAGCACAATTTCAGTGAAACGGTTATGGCAAAACCCTAGCATAGTTCTCTCTTTTTGATAAAGTGACGACCAGTGGTAACACCTCATGCATCCAGCTTATGTCACTCATATCAAAGATGGAGCATACCCAAGTTTATAGCACAGATTTGCAATAAGAGACAGACCCTCAACAACGAAGGCCTATACAATGGAAACTAATTTGACTTCTCTTACCTGCGCCATTTTCAGCCAACCACCGCACCACTGGCTTCAACGTTATCGGATCTCGCAAAAAGAGTGGTATCTTCCATTGCACATTACTGCGTTTATGGCCAGGAACGTGCTTTGATAGTCAGTGTATACATGATGATAAAAGCAGAATAAGTATGACATACTCTGTAAATTTCCTGGGTGACTCGAACCATTCCATCTTCGCGTTTGCGAACGTATAAAAGTGGAAAACCTTCCTGGTAGATCCAAGTTTCGATAACTTCGGACAGCGTGAAGTTTTGCCCTATCAAGCGCCCGCCAATCGTTGAGCCCTCATAAACTCTGGAACCTCCTTTAGAACCTGCTTCGCTTCTGAGTAGAATTCTAGGAACAATTACAAAACAACAGCTCGAGCCTTGCACACAAAATTTTAAAATACTGCGGTGACGCTAACTGCGGCTACACACATCCACAGCCTGTATGAATGAAATAAAAAATCACACAAGCGGCGATTTTTCCAAGCCGGGTCATCAAAAATCGACGTTGCAAAAAATCCCAGTTTTCAGCTCTTACAAGGGAAGGAAGGTTGATCGAAGTGACCTTTTGAATGGAGATTACTCGGTCTTGTAGAGCTTGGAATGCTGATCCCAAATCTACCTTTGCTGTCTGCTAGGGGCTTCTGGGCGAGGAGTTATGAAGGTTTTTGTGAGTAAAAATTTCAGTGCAAGACTAGTATAAAATCTACCGTAACCTTTTCCCAACTTTAAAATGAGGCAGCAACGAGTTGGTATATTTAAATCAAACATATTTATTGCACCGAGTGACCCGAATATCAGTTAAGTCCTAGAAAAGTCTTAGCTTATTTTACGCTAATTGCATTCAACTTTATACTCACAAAAACACAACTCCCCGCCCAGAAGCCCGCAGCAGATAGCAAAGGTATATTTGAAATCAGCGCTCCAAGCTCTATAGAACCGCGTGCACCTCATTTTAAAAGTCCTTTTCGACCAAACTTCCTTCCCTTGTTAGATTATTCAAACTGAGGAGCATTCAAGCTACTAAGAACTTATTACAAAATGCTATGATTTTTGGAGGCAACGACACAAAACGACAAATATGACATTTACTCACGAGAAAGTGTCATACGTCGCAGTGGACTTTTGACATAGATGGGTACTATCTGGGTCAGTTTGAAACGCTGATTTCAAAACAGCCTTTTCAGTTTTAGAACGAAACTGCGACGGGACTGTCGAAATAAATTTGCCAAAAATTACAACGCTGAGGATAGCCAAAACTATCAAAGGCATGTATTTCGATTCTGACATATATTAAACAGTTTACCAATGCTTAATGTAATTCTACTCCTTCCTCAATGTTATACTGTAGTGCTTAAACAAGCATTTGAACGGTTTTCGCGATCAAAGGGTACTCTAAACAATGTGGAATTTGGTTACTAACTCGTTCTGCAACTAAAAAAGGCCGTTTTGAAATCAGCGTTTCAAGCTGTTCCAGATAATGTTCATCTCATGTCAAAAGGCCGCTGCGACTTCTTAATTTTCCTTTCAAAAATAAACTTTTTGTAAGGATGTTCGATTCGCGATTTCTCCCCGAAAGAGTTGGTCAGAGAATATACGGATGTTCGATTCGCGATTTCTCCCCGAAAGAGTTTGTCAGAGAATATACAATCAGAATCTGGCACGAAGTGGGCGAAGTGACAAGCTGGAAATCGTTTTGAGTGAAAAAGCAAAGAGGCTATCATTTTCGCGGGGTCCGGGGCGAAGCCTCGGAAAAAAAATTGGTAGTTCATGCTCTTTGCTTGTCTTAACATGTTACGTGCATCAGCAGGCGAACACTGGAGTTCGCGCGCGTCAAACCGCGCCATCGCTAATTACCGCACGCCCGACGTCGCTACCGATGCTATTTGTGACAGCATACATGACTAGTTGTCAATGTAAGCGCAACGATATCGCACTAAATTTCGTAAGCGAACGAAGAAAGGCTAGTGGAAACAAAGTATGAAAAACTATTAGAAAAAAATATGTGAATGGAAAGTGTAGTAAGCGTTTTTACAAAAATTTTGCATTATCGGCGAGTAAAGATGGAATTCAAATGACTCCTCTGCAACGCACAGATGACGATATGGTATGAAACTTGGTGAGCACGTGAATACGCGCCTGCAGGTCTTAACCTAGAAGTTTCAATGAAAAATTATGTGTTTGAAGGTTGTGGCAAGCTTTTTTGGAAAATTTCCCGCTACCAAAAAATGGAGAATGGCTCGTTTGCAACGCAAAGGTGACGAGGTCGTGCGAGACTTGGTGTTTACACGCGCAGTAGGACTAAGGAACAAAGTATGACAAATTATGAATAACATATGCGAGTGAAGAACGCGCCCAACTTATTTCCAAATTAGGTTGGCAATTGCCAACCTAATGCCCACCTGAAATTGGCAAAACTTCCGTTTCAATAATTTTGACAAAATTTTTACATAAATGTGTCCTACACTTAAAACCTAGCATATAGTAACACTTTGGTCTCAAAACTCCTCCTCTCCTCCTTGTTGGGATCAGGAATTTTCGACGCCGTCCCCTTGAAAGGAGAAAGCGAGCTCCAATCGATCAACCTAAGCAGCTGGCAGGATCAAGTGGGAAATCGTAAAAATCGATAGTGGCAAGGGCGAAGCCGTTTTACCGATGTCCATTTACCACTCTTGTGCTAGGCCCTGTATACAATATTAGTATGCCCTGCTTCCGCACCTTGTTTTTGATTGGCTCAACAAAGAGGAAACTTGGCGCAACTCTAAGGACTGACTTATCTGCGTTTCGGTTTTCTTTTACTCCTGTATCGAAGGGTAGATATCAGTGGTGGTCCAGGATTTCGGACCGGGGGGGGGGGAGCGTGGCAAAAATTTTCTTCAAATGAAGGTGCGTGGCGTCAATCACGCACTTCGAAAACTTTTTGGGGTTCTTCGCAAAATTTTTGCGGGCCCATAACCTCTAAAATCGGAGATTGGGAAAAGGCTGGCGCCAAGCCCCCGAAAAATTTTTTTACAAGACTCTTTCGAATATTGAAAGTAATTAAAAATTATTCTAATTATTTACAAGAATAAACAAGTCACTTGCACATTTTTACAGCTCATGTGAGTAAATTTCAAAAATTTCGCGACCCATTTTCGGGGAGGGGGGGGGGGAGAGGGCGCCCTGCATCGCTTTCATCGCCCTCCCGTCATCGTGGAATGAAAATGAGTTCTGCCGCCACTGTTTACATGAAAGTTGAAAGCGGCTTGATATCAGTTGATAAAAGTTCATTTTTCTTAAAAATCGATGAATAGATGGAAGGAGTGGGAATTTTGCTGCGAGGATAGCCTAAGGGGTGGACCAGGGTCGGAAACATATGTGAATAAAGTTTGGCGCCGATCGGTCCAAACATGAAATTTCCTATAAAGGACACACTAACTAACAACTTACCAACATTCTTTATATGATGTATAGATATAGATGTACGTGAGGAAGCTAACAAGAGCTTATCCATTACGATATGTTTGCGCATACAACGATTTTACAGAATAGTCATGAAAAATTGCCGAGATGCGCTTACTTCTACGGTGCACTCAACGAAATTCACTGGACTTTAGAGGCAGTGCTCGGGCGAAGTTGGAAGCTATGGGAACCTGGTGCCATATGCAAGCTAACGCCCTCAAACACGCCATCGCAAGAGTAAAATCTCAAGGCTAGACGAGAAGCGGGAAATTTTCGGGAGGTCGGGAAACACCCTTAAAGCCACCGTCCACCCTAAACTGAGAGCTTCGCTTACCTGCAGATTTCCTGCGCAGCGTTAAGTACGCATGCCGCACTTGAAGTAGGGTCCTACAAGACTTTACGTCTCAATTAGCGGAAACTATTTACCTTTGGATTCAAATGTAAGACTTTGAGAAGCTTGTTCTCGTCATTTTCGCGCTTTCCAGATGTTTCGTATCTACGTAGCGATTAACCCGTTTCGGACAGGTGCTGCACTTGGTGCAGCATCTTGCTCGAAGGATCTTTTTGACGTGACAGGAGGAGTTCTTTTAGTCCAAGGTAATCAAGTCAAAGGCCTAAGCTTCTATTTTTCAAATGACGCTGTAAAGTTGTGCCGCCGATATTTGTTTAGGAGATATGAGCACAAATCGAACAACAGTTCCAACGAAGTGCGGCAACGCGAACGACGCGCGCGACGTCGCAACTTTCCTTTGCTTCGATATCAAAGAGAAAAACCGCAGTTTCAATACTGATGTGTACAGTCTACAACATAGATACTTTTGGATACTATAAAAACTAAGTTCTTGTTCCTATATTTCAGGAAAGCACAGAAGTCATTCACAAGCGGCAAAACTCAAACACTTCGAATCCATCCAAAACTTTGGGTATGAAACTTATCTGACAAGCTGATTACAGATATAGCACACAGTTCACGAAATAAGGTCCCTTCATTGGCTAGTGACTGAAAGTGCACTCTTTTTCGCCGCACGCGATTTCGCGGTCGAAACGTGTTAAGCTCAGGTAAACGGAGAAGCTAGTTTTGGATTTTTCCCGGACACTGCCAGCGCAACACGTGATCCAGCGGTGTTGGATCACGTGTTGCGTATCTAGTATTGAGAAACATTGCCTAAATTATAGAATAAACCAGAGTGAGATGTAGCAGATATCGTGGCTGAAATTTATTTGCTCGTTCGAGATACGGAGAATGAAGAACTAGAAACTCGCGGCTCTAGAATTACAGTAATGTCAATATCAATATATGAAGTGCAAACAAGCTCAGGCTGCCTTCAACTTTACAACAAGGATGTAAAGTTCTCAATTTAATCTTGGGAAACGCCACATGTTGGGCACAGAAAATTGCTTCCACTCGTTGAAACTGCTCAAAAGTAAAAGGAGAAGGCATAAATGGTCCCAAATTATCATGAAGTCTACAACCAGCCCTGGAAGAAAAACAATTACCTTGGTGAATCTGACACGTTAGTCCACTCTTGTTCGATCCTCTCAGATGCTCTGGCCGTCCAAAAAGAACATATAACGCGTTTTGACATGGCAAGCATGGCGCAGCACAAATACTATCATGACCAGGGTCAAGCGTGGGGTGCGGCATGCCATACCTGGGGGGTTGTATCGAGGAGTCCAAAGGGGAGGGGGTCGTAGTTGGGTAATCTGATAATAGTGATAACATAATATTCGTATCTTATCCATAATTAGCATGTCAATTAACCTCTGTAGACAAAGTGTGAGCGAATTCTGAAGATCTAAGATATTAGGCTACCTAAATGAAATGGTCAAATTCCAACATGGTTAACTTTATTTCAAAGGTGAATG